TTCTACAACATATACCACGCAACCACAACCTGCCCACGCATCCTCACTACCTGCTTCACGCACCATCAAACGCACAAGTGCTCGCAGACGACCAAAATGGATCCATTTCTTATTAGACCTCCCTCGTCGTCTTGTGGGCTCTGCCGACACTTTATACGACCGCAATGCCGTCACTCACACCATAGGCTTCCCGTAACGTCTCTTGGACGGCGGCGGTCGGGGTCCCACGTCTACCATTGCAAACCGAAAGTAGGGTTGATCTGTCTACTTCAATGACGACTGGCGTCGCTAGCACTGGTGGTATGTCGTTGTAGTAACCAAGTGCGTATCCAGCAGTGTGCAAGTCACACAGGAATGTTGAGCGGTCCGAGCCAGGGACAGCAACGCTTTCGCGTCGGTCGGCAAGCAAGACCAATGGCGAAGCAGTCTGGCCATGAGCACATTCTTTGGCTGGCGTGTCTAGGAAAAGCATACACTGAAAGAGGCATGGCAGCATGACCACGGAGACGCCAACAGAGCCAAAAGAGACGGCAACAGAACGAGAGCCGAAGGTGCGTGCGGCATGATAAAATCCGAGTGGCCGGAATCGAACCAGCGATCAATTGATTTCCGAGAATACTGAAACACAGTATAGAACACTACAGTCAATCGCTCTACCAACTGAGCTACACTCGGTCCTAATCCAACAACCACGCAAAAACAAATAAAGACCTTGCGCACGCTCCCACATGCACAACCAACACCTCTACAACATATACCACGCAACCACATCCTGCCCACGCATCCTCACTACCTGCTTCACGCACCATCAAACGCACAGGTGCTCGCAGACGACCAAAATGGACCCATTTCCTCTTAGACCTCCCTCGTCGTCTTGTGGGCTCTGCCGACACTTTTTACGACCGCAATGCCGTCACTCACACCATAGGCTTCCCGTAACGTCTCTTGGACGGCGGCGGTCGGGGTCCCACGCCTGCCATTGCAAACCGAAAGTAGGGTTGATCTGTCTACTTCAATGACGACTGGCGTCGCTAGCACTGGTGGTATGTCGTTGTAGTAACCAAGTGCGTATCCAGCAGTGTGCAAGTCACACAGGAATGTTGAGCGGTCCGAGCCAGGGACAGCAACGCTTTCGCGTCGGTCGGCAAGCAAGACCAATGGCGAAGCAGTCTGGCCATGAGCACATTCTTTGGCTGGCGTGTCTAGGAAAACCATACACTGAAAGAGGCATGGCAGCATGACCACGGAGACGCCAACAGAGCCAAAAGAGAAGGCAACAGAACGAGAGCCGAAGGTGCGTGCGGCATGATAATATCCGAGTGGCCGGAATCGAACCAGCGACCAATTGATTTCCGAGAATACTGAAACACAGTATAGAACACTACAGTCAATCGCTCTACCAACTGAGCTACACTCGGTCCTAATCCAACAACCACGCAAAAACAAATAAAGACCTTGCGCACGCTCCCACATGCACAACCAGCACCTCTACAACATATACCACGCAACCACAACCTGCCCACGCATCCTCACTACCTGCTTCACGCACCATCAAACGCACAAGTGCTCGCAGACGACCAAAATGGACCCATTTCCTATTAGACCTCCCTCGTCGTCTTGTGGGCTCTGCCGACACTTTATACGACCGCAATGCCGTCACTCACACCATAGGCTTCCCGTAACGTCTCTTGGACGGCGTCGGTCGGGGTCCCACGTCTGCCATTGCAAACCGAAAGTAGGGTTGATCTGTCTACTTCAATGACGACTGGCGTCGCTAGCACTGGTGGTATGTCGCTGTAGTAACCAAGTGCGTATCCAGCAGTGTGCAAGTTACACAGGAATGTTGAGCGGTCCGAGCCACGGACAGCAACGCTTTCGTGTCGGTCGGCAAGCAAGACCAATGGCGAAGGAGTCTGGCCATGAGCACATTCTTTGGCTGGCGT